CTTGGAGAGGAGGAATGGAAATTCATTCAGGGGAACTGTTAAATTCAAATGTAACATGCAACCAGGCAAGTATGTTTTCTCATGCCCATTCTGCTGCTTGGGTGTGGCTTTATCCAGGATTAAGATTGTCAGGAGATAATATAGGTTCTGTGGGTGACAGGTGCAGGAGAATTGTCTGTCCCCATAAGGAAATTATTATAACGATGAAGTACTTGAAGGAGTGGTGAAAGGAAGTACATGGCATTAAGAGGTACAAGAGCCAGAAACCGTGACGGATCAGTGAGTTGGGTGACTCCTAGGTTTTAACCCAACCATTAACTTCCTTTTCCAGCATATGATGGTCACCTTAGTGCCTGGGGCAAAGAAAAACTTACACAAACGTCTGTCAGGCTTTCTTTGCCTTCTGCTGTTTACTTGATTTTACTGTTTGTTTTCTTTTCCTCAAAATCATAATTAATCACATATAATGTCCGTGGGATCTGTGAAAAACATTTAACCGAAAGGAAATCTTGAATTGTTGATAAAACGTTGATATACTGTTTATTCCTTTGAAGGCCATCAATTTCGAATGCCAAGATCCTCCTGTCAAACAGCTGTTACAGCACTTTTCTTAGTAGTTGCACATGTGCAGGGGATGTAGCATCTGTTTGTAAATTAATGAGGATCCGGTTGAGACTGTGAGGACACTCTGTATATATCTGGAATCCTTGTTTTCTAGTCAGGTACTTACTAGTATAGTTTATCACTGCAGTAACTTGGTTAAAGTTAGTTAGCCTTTTCCTAGAACTAGTTGAATTATAAGATTCATAAGATTAGGCCTCCCAAATATGCCTTGGGAACAAATATCTCATTTGGATTTTTAAAGAAAAATTTTCCTTCTTTCCCCAGAAACCCAAACACCCGACGACAGGAATTATTGCCATCACCTTGGCCTTTCACATATGTCATGAAGTCCACCTTGCTGGCTTTAGATACAACTTTTCTGACCTCCAGAGCCCTTTGCACTACTATGGGAATGCCACCATGTCCTTGATGAACAAGGTAATACAGATTATTTGTTAAAATCATTGATTTTTTTTAGAATTGGAAAGCCTATTTTCTCTCTTCTCACCGTATCATTTTACATAGCGAAGAGCTTTTGAGAGATTGAGGGCTTGATAGGGGTTATAGAGCTACCAAATACCAAAATCAAGTGCAGTGTTCTCTACTACAGTGATTCCCAATCTGTGGGCCTCAGACCCTTGGGAGAATCTCCGTTATTGTAAAGTACTGACAACCCATACAGGGACCAAGCATTGTCTTAGATACTGTATCCTATTTGCATGATTTAAATATACACATAGCCTACTGTTGGAGATATTACACATTCACCTAAAAGCATTGCCATGTCCACAGTAATAATTTTCATGTGTTTTTTTTTCCAGTTAAGTAGACAAGGTCTATAACACTTTAACCCCATGAAAGTATCTTTATGGTCAGAAAGGTTGTCATCTTTGACACTAGCTCATGCTTCTCTTGAATTAGGGATCAGTGGCAGATTGGATCCTTCAGATTTTTATTTTAATTGACTGAGGAGGAGTTTTCTATTTTCCCAATTCCAATTTAGATTAGTGGCACAGCATAAGTGACAGGATTAAAATGTTATCTGTACATTTTTAATACTGAAATATGATTTGCTATAATGTATATGGCTATATCCCATGAAATCCCAGTCCCCTGAAATCATCTCCCAGTGTTATGTCAGGGTAGATCTTGATACTGACTTGTTGTGTCTTCCCCACAACGTGTGACAGAGACTTCAGTTGCCGAGGACAGACAACTCACTTCAGGCTCACTTCTACCCAGCCCTAATTTCTCCTGTAGCACACTTGGCATTTTTAGTCCTCTAAAGAAACACACATCAAAACACCTTCCTAAAATTAGGATGCCTGTCATTAGAATAGAACAGTTTTTTAAAACCTGCGTTCCTGGTGATGCATTTATTACAATGATCAACCCGTTTGGATTTACAATTTTGGTTTCTAGACTTCCACGACGACTCAGCAGACCAGATGATGTGAGGGAGCCTCTTACCTATGTGTAGGTTGGGG